GGAGCAGTAAACTGACTCTCAAAAACAAACTGTTACCTGTTACTATACAAACAAGTGATCAGGACGGCTATTCTTGAAATCGGGGAGCTCGTTTCTCATGAGAAAATTGTAAAAGTTCTCATGGAAAAATAGGTATTCTTGAAACTGTGAACAGCTCCTTTCCTACGAACGGTGAGAGAACCTACTTCCACTGGTCTCAGTTAGGAGAAGTGAAGTTCATTCATATTTTAACCTATAACTTACAGTGAAGAGTGATGTGTGTTATGTCATTGGTTTTTATGCTTTGTTGAGAACATGAATTTTTAAATGAGATAGTTTGCGGCCCATATCATTATTGGCGATTTGCAAGATGCCGGGGAACAGGCTAATCACGGACGACGGCAGGTGCTCCAAATACGGGATCCATTCGTATATTTATCTGAACATAAATTCATAAAATATTTTCGGGTAACGAAAATTCTGTCACATGAAATAATACAATAGATATCCCATTCAACGATAAACTACAACAACTAGGGATCTCAAGATCACGTGCAGCCGCACAACTACCGCAGCTGGAGAAACGATTTCCAAAAGATCCTCAACTTGAAGAGAAATACACTCAATTTATGGAAAAATAAATGAAACTCAATACCTACTTAATCATATGAGAACATGCCCGCAACTAAACTGAACAGTAGCCCATACTACATTCCTCATCAGCCTGTAATAAAAGAATCCAGTTCCAGTTCAGAATACATTGAGAGTAGTATTTGATGCCTCAACTCAAGCAAAACTTCAAGTGGAATCAGTCTCAATGATGCAATGTACTCAGACCCGAAACTTCAGCAGGAACCATATATAAAGGCGCTGCTTTTTCTGCCATTTTAAGATAGAGACTTTCAAATTATTTTTAAACTGAAAAATAAATAATTTTTCCACAATCCACATAAACTTGATTAACATAAACCGGTTTTTTGACAATTAGATTCTTTTTAGGTTATAAAGTTTGTCGCTCTGTTTTGATTAGCCGAAATTCGTTTTTTTTATGATTGGCAACGGCGCACAAAGGTAATCGCCGGGAACTTGTTCCCTGTATTTCGAGAATACTCACATTGTGCTATAAGAGAAATCAAAAGGGAAGTGAACTAGTCACTTCACATGCACAGAGTTCACTTCTCACGTCGTCAAGAATAGCCGTCCAGACATTCATAACTTTACGGTGGACCAGTTTTCTCACGACACTATGACAAAATAAATAGGAACAGCAGGTGTTTCAAAACAGGGTAATCCGTAGGATGGTCGGCGCGTGGTATATTCGCAATGCGGACCTACATACTTTGATACTGATTTGAGCGTTGACACAATCCAGGAATACCTTGTTGAGAAAGATACTCGGTTTCTTGACACAGTTACTAACCATACTATTGACATCATTAAAAACTTATTCGACGATCAATTTAATAACCCTGACAGAACTACTCTCAGAAATCTAAAGGCTCCGCTTCTTTTCTAAAAAATGAAATCCTTTTCCCTCCTTTCCCATCCTTTCCTATCCTTTTCCCACTCCTCTCCTTCTCCCTGAACAACAAGTTAACTTTAAACACAACATAAGTAGCAATTATAACCTCATCCATTACAGCGTAAGAGTGCTTCGCTCTCCCGCTATAATAAACTTATAAGAAGAAAGTTTAGAAAAACTAAATTAATTTAGGAAAGCAGCAAATAAATTTTTGAATTACCAAGTTAACTTAGGAAACCGTCATTTGTATTTTAGATCACACCATATGTACGTAAGAAAGTTTCAATTGTAGTTTAGAATTATGTAGTATTTCCGTATTTCTCTACATCTATACTGTCTGATTTTTTTAAAGTTCCCCTCTTATGCCAAATTTGCAACATCTCTGTAAGCATTTATGTACCTACATGCAATCTAAAGTTCAATAATTTATCGTTTCCTTAATGCAAATCATTGTTTCCAAAATTCATATGGTGTTTCTAAAATACAATAGCTTCAATCTAAAATACATATGATTTTTCTAAAATACATTAGAAATTATCGATAATACAATTCTTACTTCTAAAATACTTTTGAATATTCCGCAAATACATTTCAAAAATGTAAAATACATATGGATTTTTCTGAAATACAAATGTTTATTCTAAAACAAATGATACTTTTATTTCTTCAATCAAAGTGATAGTTTCTTAAATACTGTTGTAAAAGGTGTAGTTTCTGGAAATATTCTCTGCCTAATTATCCTTCCATTATGTCATTCGTGTTCTTCGTAAAAATTTTTTACATACCTCGGTTAAAAGTTTCATTACTGTCGAGAGTTTAGTTAGACTAAATCTCTCGACAGTAATGAAACACTTTCCACCTCGGTATGTAATATACTATTATTTTAAACCATATATGTAATTTTCACATTTCTTACTGGTTTGAAGGTTCGAAAATGTCACTTTACTTTTGTTTATTTTGCACTGATTTTGCAGCAGACCGAAAGTGACAGATCTCCTTTCGGCCTGGAGAACTCACTTTCGGCCTGCTAAATTATTCTTTCACACCTAAACTCAAATCCAGGTGCAATGTTTGTATTTAGAAGTAGATGTCACATGTGTTTATATTGTTGAAATTTCATAAGATATCAGTGTCGGTGTCAGATATTCTGTGGGTGTCGGAGTGTCAGTCGAAATTCCATTTTTGTCATATTTTTACCTTTTTTTTTTTTCAATAATTAATGGTTCAAAATAAAGTAGTATACATATTTCGGTGGAAAGTTTTCACATACATTGTCTCGAGAATTGGTTGACCTCGGCGCTTCGCACCTCGGTCAACCATAGTATCTCTCGACAATAATGAACCACTTTCCACCTCCGCATGTGATATACTATTTATACTCCGAAATATTTCAACGCAATTTTTACTTGTTAGGTATATTTTTTTTCTTGTGCTGTCCTTTCATATCGTTCATAGTTGTTTTCCTTTCTGTTATTATTGTTGTGACCCAATATAACACAGTAAGTAATTAGGTAATCAAAAGAAGATTCAATTAAACTTTTATTTTTTATTTTCTCTATAAATTGTTATGTGCTTTACGACCATGCCTTGTCAGCTCAACATCTAAGTTATTCTTTTCCGACTCTATTGTATTACCCTCTATTTATAAATTGTTACATAGTCGGTAATGTGAAATAAATTCTGGTATAGGTAGGTGCCCAAATAGGACAAATAGGTTTTAGTTTTTATTATTGGACAAACTTCCAAACATAACATTATACAGGGTGTCCACTTAGCGCGATATCGGACGATATCTCCTTACAGGGTGATGCAAGAAAAAAAAATTAAATTACAAAGTTGTTTGATACTCTAATATGCATTAGTTAAAAATATTTTTGAATATAGAGGGTGCTCCGTTTATGGGGTATGCGACAGAACTTTGTTATTTTAAATGGTACACCCTGTATGTGATTGCATATTTGGATTCTGCGTAAAATTCTGAGCAGATTTCATATAATTTACCCTATACCTAAGTTCAACTGTTTTGACAGTTGAAAATTGACTTTTTGCAACTTTGACAGGCTGTAAAACCTAAACGGGTAATTTTAGACGAAAACTGATTTAATATTTCTATCTTAGATTTTTATAAACTATCATTTGACACCAACTTTGAATTTAATCCATGATTAAAAATTCCGGTTAAATTTAATCTCCGGTTAAATTCAAAGGTGGTGTCAAATGATAGTTAATGAAAATCTAAGATAGGAATGTAAAATCGGGTTTCGTCTAAAATTAACCGTTTAGGTTTTACAGCCAGTCAAAGTTGCAAAAAGTCAATTTTCAACTGTCAATATTTCCAAAACACTTGAACTTAGGTATAGAGTATATTACATGAAATCTGCTCAGAATTTTACGTAGAATCCAAATATGCAATCACATATAGGGTGTCCTATTTAAAATAACAAAGTTCTATCGTATATCCCATAAACGGAGCACCCTCTATATTCAAAAATATTTTTAACTAATGCATATTAGAGTATCAAACAACTTTGTAATTTAATTTTTTTTTCTTGCATCACCTTGTAAGGAGATATCGTCCGATATCGCACTAAGTAGACACCCTGTATAACAAAATATTTTAACACCAATATAAAATCTTTAATATTATAGTTGATAACTTTAGAACGCAAAACGTCCACTTTAGGTACGTCTCATCTTCGCTGGTTTCTTTTGAGTTATATTATGTAGTTACCTGTTATTCCTGAAAAAGTATTCTCGATAATATAAATATTTTCAATTTATTGTTACGAAGTAGCCTCGGAAGCTCGGCCGCATTCTAAGAAATGCAATAATTGTCGGCGCGTCGCGTGAACAATTCGGAGAATTCAATAATTCAACTAGGGCGCCAGGTTTTTCTAGATAAATCAAGAGTACACTGGCTGCTATTAATAGCCCGTAGTAGCCTCGGATATTTGTCATGAATGTTTTAATAAGGGATAGTGAATTTTGATAAAGTCAATTAGATTTTTTAAAGTTGTTACTGTTTGAGTTAGTGAGTTTCAGTGCACCCGGAATCCCTGACAATATTTTAAAATGTTAATATTCTTTCTACTCGTAAATTAAAAAAAAAAAACTAATTATTATTTTAATCTTAAATCCCAAGTAATCTGGATCCGTTTCGTGATTTTCCTTTTAAAATAAAATAGCCTTATTAATTAATAACTATTTTTCATTCTTACAGTAAATCCTAAAATTGTCATCATCCAAGTTTAAATTAAAGCTCAAAGCACATTATAATCTCCGATTCGTGAAAGAATCTAATCTCTCCTTGCTTTTTCTCCAGAATGGTTAGCAAGCTCGCATTTAATACATAATTCTCTTGAGAATAGTTTATAGCACAAAGAGTGGAATGTTTCGAGTACCCTAACTAAAAGGATGAAAGATGAAAGCCAGTTTTTTTTTTGTATAATTATCATCGATCCTCGAATTTTCTATTATCCAATTTTTTTGTTTGTTTTAGGTGATGTGTGTTCAGTATTGGCCAGCCTCCAATGACCTAGAAGAAACTTACGGGGGTATTCACTTAAAAGTCATTCAAGAGGAAGAATTAGCCAATTTTAGAATAAGAACTTTTAGGCTATATAAGAAACAAAATGATGGGGTAAACTCACGTATCATCAAAAAACCACAAGTATTAATTGACTTTATTTTTTCAGTCAGTTATGGAAGAACGATTTATTCTTCAATTTCACTTTACTGAATGGCATTGTCACTCCTGTCCCTTTGGCAATGCACTACTGGAATTTAGGAGAAGAGTCAGAGCTGTTGTTGGCCATAGGATAAAGTCGAAGGAAGCTGGACCGATGATAGTACATTGCAAGTGAGTCGATCATAATTTTTTTTTCCACAATGGTTTTAAAATGTGTCATTTTCAATTTACGAATTTAACTTATGATCCTTGAAAATCTGGAAACATTCCAAAGAAATCACACAAATTTTGAGCCGGCGCGAAAAACTGTATAATAGTTGAGAATAGCCTCGATAATAACCAACAAGGGCAAAGATAATTTACAAAACTGCGTGCTCGTTGCTAAGCTAATTTGTGTAAAATGTATTGAAGGTCGAATCTTTCTTTTACTACCTACTGTTCCGAGTTAGGAAATAAGTCTTTTTATTGGTAATGGATATCGTTGTAATATTCAGTACTGTAAATTGAAGATAGTTTATTCAAGAAAAGAAATATAGTTTATTTACCAAAATTATTATTATAGTAATAGACAATAAGAAAATACTCGAGAGCGTGTTTTTGTCGTGTTGACCAACTGCTGTTCTTTGTTCTTCAAAACATCCCTGTCGGTGAAACGTGCTAGCGCATAAATTATACAGTATCTGGGAACCCGATCTGCATCTTTGGTGGTTGCAGTTCGGTTACAGTCGGCCTACCCGATAACACTCCACGACCCAGTGAAGTTGGACTTAACTAAAAAAAAGCACAATACAAAATTAATTATAATACACTAGAATTAAAGCCAGAGACGAAACAGATTATTCGTCTACTACTGGATTATCGTCACTAATGCTAAAGGACAAATGCCCGTATAGGCTATCCTACAGCGTTTCGACCCTTGCAATTCTCCAACTACATATCTGTCATTGTCAAGTACCTTTGACACAACAAAAGGGCCTTTATACCTAGGTTCAAGCCTTCTACTCCTTCCCTCATTGGAGAATTTACTTGCTTGAACTAACACTTGTTGGCCAACTACGTATTTCTTAACGCGGGCATGCCTTTTATCGTAATACTCTTTCTGCATCTTTTGCCGTTTTCGAGTAACCTCAACCACCTGTTTACGCATTGCATCAAGGTCTTGCCGTTCTTCGCAAGCGACCGCTGAAGCAAGGATAGAGTCATTAACGCCACATGGGCGGTAACCAAAGAAAATCAAGTGGAATTAACCGTTGAATCAACTCCCCACCTAACTCTACTTATGACGTCGTCCCATCGGGACTCATCTTCGATAGAAGGCAATAGGGCCGACAGAATTGAGCGATTCATCCTCTCCACTTGCCCATTAGCTCTATGTGTAGCGGTCGCACATAGAACACGTTTAATACCTAACGAATGACAAAAGTTTGTAAAACTTTTGCTTGTGAATGCTGTTCCACGATCGCAAATCAATCTTTTTGGAACTCCAAACATGTCAATGATGTATTCCAGGAAGCGTAACACTGGTAAAGTTTTTGTACTTGCTACTGCTTTCAGGAATACTAATTTGGTAAGTGCATCTACCACAACTATCAAATATGCATTTTTCCTAACGCTTGTAACGAACGGTCCAACATGATCGATGTGTAGTGTGTCCATGGGCATACTCAATTTTCCGGTTGCATTTAGACTTCCAGGCTATTTACTGGATGGCCTTTTATTATAGGCAGTGACTACTGCACTGTCCAGACAGTGTCGACTGAAAAGTATCTGGACTGACCAGACTGTGCCGACTAAAATCTATCAGCACTGTCTAGACATTGCCGACTGAAATCTATCGGCACTGTCCAGACAGTGCCGACTAAAAACCATATGCACTGTCCAGATAATTTCATTATCATATTATCATATAAAGTTATAGTTATATTCAGAATGGCTTGCAGGCCTTGCTGGGATTTAGTTTATTATTAATTATTTTTGTAATAAGTCCACAAAATTAATGTTTTTTTCAATAGTACCTAAGAGTGTCAATTTTCACAAGTCAGGTCGAGGCCAAAAATTCATTCGAGGGTGGCCTGGCCATACTTAAACACAAATGTCGCATACAAAATACAAACAACATTTTCCCTACAAGCGTGCGCAAAGTAGTAGGTACTTTTCACCTAGTGCGGAAGTGGAACTTTGAGCACAAAAATGCGTGCAGAAAAGTACTACTTTAAGCACTTTCGTGAGAAAAATGTTGTTTGTATTTTGTATGCTACATTTGTGTTTATGGGTAACTTCGAATGAATTTTTGGCCTCGATCTGACCTGTGAAAATTAGGCTTTTAGGTACCATTGAAAAACACTCATTTTGCGAACTTATAACAAAAAAAATTATTAATACACTGAATCCCAGGAGGAATTTTGAATGTAACTGCAACTTTACTTATATGATATGATAATCAAATTATCTGGACAGTGCAGATGGTTTTTAGTCGACACTGCCTGGACAGTGCAAATAAATTTCAGTTGGCACTGTCTAGACAGTGCTGATAGATTTTAGTCGGCACTGTCTGGTCAGTGCAGATAGTTTTCAGTCGGCACTGTCTGGACAGTGCAGAAGTCACTTCCTTTATTATACCGGGTTTCCTACCGAAAACTGTCAATGGCCTATATCTTGAAAACGGTAATCGATAAAAAAAAAAAATGAAAAACCCGTTTGGAGGGTTGGAAAGGGGAACCAAAACAAGGTACTTTACAAGTCTCCCTGAATCACCCCGCCGGCCGTAGCTACCCTAACCTCAAAATCTTAAATGGGACTATGGGTCATGTGATACCTTGTTTTAAAGGTCTTTTAATTCTCTTAATGGATCTGCAAAAAGAAATTATCCAGATTTGAATGTGACTCTCATTTTGATGAAAATCTTATTTGATCGGGTGGAACAGGTAAATGTAATTTAAAATCGATTTTATGCAAATTGAATAACAGCATGAATATTTTTGAAGAAATAATCAAGATTTTATTTTTTTGAACCCCTTTCCCCTCACTGTACCTGACAGTGTTCACCTCTTCAAGAGAGCAAGGTTGTTAACTCGAAGCATGCGCCATTTTGTGACAATTTGAATTTGAATCTAGATAATTTTTTTTGCAGATTCGTTTAGAGAATTAAAAAACCTTTCAAACACGATATCACATTATCCATAGTGCCATTTAAGATTTTGAGGTTAGGGTAGCTACGGCCGGAGGGGTAATTCGGAGAGACCTGAAAAGTACCTTGTTTTGGTTCCCCCTTCCAACCCTCCAAACGGGTTTTTTATTTTTTCTTTATCGATTACCGTTTTCAAGATATAGGCCATTGACAGTTTTCAGTGGGACACCCGGTATAGGCACCCTAAACAGGATCGAACATAGTTTTTCACATAATTTCTCATTTCTGGAAACCAATAACGTGCACTCATAGCCGTTGACGTTTTGGCTATTGTAAAGTGACCAGCTCCATCATGGTAATATGTAGCAATAGTTCGCCTTGATGATTTCGGTACCTACTACCCATTTCCGTCCACCATTTGTAATTCTGTATAACGGATTCCTTTGGTCTCACTATCATCTGACGCTGACGGTTTTCGTGTTAGCGCCTCTTTTAGGTAGCGACAATGTTCATCTTGGAGTTGTGATACCCAATCTTCCTCTGATACATCAATATTCTGGTCAATGTTCTGGATTGGACCTCTGCTCTATTTTGGTGCAGGGCGGCATTCGATGTCAAAATCGAACTCCTGCATGGAAAGTAACCATCTAGCAATACGTGGGACTAAATTTCTTTTCATCAATGTGTGGCGGAGTGAATTGCAGTCTGTAAAATACTTTAAAATTACTCCTAATGAGGTAAATTCTGAACTTTTTGAGGGCCTCCCCTAATGCCAACGTTTCCGACTCATAGGAATGATACTTCTGTTCGGCTTGAGTAGTCGCTTGGCTGAAGTATTGAATGGATTTCAGATTATTATCGCTTTGTTTTTGAAATAGTATTGCTTCCAATCCTATTTTGCTAGCGTCACAGTGGACTTCGGTTTCAGCCTCCCTGTTGTATATTGCCAGTATGGGTCTCTCTACAAGCTTCTTCTTTAAATCCTCAAAGGCAATTTTCTGTTCCATATTCCCGGCAAAAACGGAATTTTTCTTGGTAAGTGAAGAAATCGGTCTGGCAGTGGAGGCGAATCCGTTTATAAATTTTCTGAAATAACTAGCTAGTCCCAAAAATCCTCTATCATAAACGTTATTGGGTGTTGAAAATTCAGCCACGGCTTCAATTTTATCCACACCAGGACGTATACCGATATTAGCTACTTCATGTCCTAAACATTCTATGTTCTCTTGAAGGAAATAGCACTTATTTAACCTAAGTGTAAAACCGGCTTCTCTAAAGATATTTTAGTATCTGTTTCAGCTTTTAAAATCTATCTGGTAATGATATTGACGGTATTAATACGTCGTCCAAATATGCCATAGCTGTTTCGAATTGCAAAGAGCCGAAGACTTGGTTTATTGTTCTCTGAAAAACCGCAGGAGCATTTACAAGTCCAAATGGCATTCGCAGGGACAGAGTGTTTATCTGGCGTTACAAATGCAGTCTTCGGAATCGATTCTTTATTCAATGGGATCTGATGGTATCCAGATGCTAGGTCTAGGGTCGTAAAATAGATGTGATCTTTGAGAGAGTCCAGGAGGTCATCGATCCTTGGCAGTAGGACGGGACTTGCATAAGGCGAAGGAAGATGAGCCACGGATATTATAATTTTTCATGAGATCGTGAACTATTCCTCTTACGACTTCTCTCTCAGAAAATGCCATGCGATAAGATTGATATGTAATAGGAATATCATCAGTTAGCGATATCATTATTCTGTGGATTTTGTTTTTCCAATCTCGTCTACATTTGTGGCAAAACGATCACGAAGGTCTAATAACTGTTTAAAATCGCGTGTTTTTGTCGTGTTAACCAACTGCTTCGCGTAACGCAACTACCGGTGCCCAGCAAGATAGGGTCCGCTGACCCTTGTTCTTCAAAACATCCCTGTCTGTGAAACGTGCTGGCGCATAAATTATACAGTATCTGGGAACCCGAGCTGCATGTTTATATTGGTGGTTGCAGTTCGGTTACACGACGAATAAAGATTTTAGGAACTATAAGG